AACTGCAGAGTTATTTTTTGCCTGTTATCCATTACTTCCTCCTCTTTGGGCAAAACACTAAAACCGAAAGAACCTGAAATGTAAGAAAATGAGGTGACCCCCACCTAAGAGCTTTGCACTGTGGTGACTTCCCCTGTCCTCAGCCTTGTACAATCAGAAAAAAGGTGTTAACGTCACTAAACATTAAAGAGACACTATTGGAAGTATAAATCAAGGAAAGTTGACATTTTCATATCGATGTCTATCCCATAAACTTTTCCTACTGAAAGCACACATGTGTTCTGTAAAGAATTACAAAGGTGATTTCTAGAGCTATTTATGGAAGACATAGGGAACCACCAAGATTCCCAAGAATAGAAAGCTATTTAAACAGCCCAGTGTACAGTTACTCAATACAGTCCTGAACAGCAATGCAAAAAGACACAAGGGTCACCTACAAGCACAATCATGGAAACCCTTTTAAAATGCATTGTCAAATTAAAAATAAAAAACAATGTCTGGAAGGGTAGCTCAGTGAAAGAAACATATGCCTACCATATATGAGGCCTTGAGGTGGCATTCTCAGCTCAGCAAAATAAACAAGTAAATAAAACTAAACTTGAAAGTTACATAGTATAACTCACTGTTAACAGCAAATATATACTTTAAGAAATAACTTATTTAAAAATTTTATTTAAAGGTTCTTTTAAAGTTTCTTGAGTAAATTTCTTAAATATATAAATTTTAAATAAAATTTCTTAAATTGAGTTAATTTAAGAAAATTTTCTGGATATACACCAGGATTCAGTATCAGCTATTATATTTATAAGGAAATTTTTAAGACAAAAAAATACATGTACTTACATCAGTTTTTTCAGAAGATAAGATCACAATATACTCTTAATTTTCAACATTACATTTCATTGATACCTAGCTTTTTTTTTCATTTTGGTTTTTTTTTTTTTTTTTTTTTGCTTGTTTTTTTCGAGACAGAGTTTCTCTGTATAGCCCTGGCTGTCCTGAAACTCACTCTGTAGACCAGGCTGGCCTCGAACTCAGAAATCCACCTGCCTCTGCTTCCCAAGTGCTAGGATCAAAGGTGTGCACCACCACTGACCAGCTAATACCTAGCTTTTTATTCTGAATAATATATAGCATACATAATCAGAAAAATAACCATTCTATGTTAGTAATATAATCAAAAGTAGGCAAAAATCTTATAAAGAATAGAGAAATCTTTACAATTCATTGACAATATCTCAACTTTTATTTCAGAAGGCAGTGTTATCCTTACTCTTAGAAATTAATATTTATGCAACACCGTAGATACTGGAAAAGCCTTTATAGTGCCTGTTCTAGTAACACTCTCAGGATAAAAGTGGGCTTCAAATTTTAAGTTTATCAAATTCAACTGAGCAATACTGTCAGCTTCTAAATAGTTGCAGATAAACCAATTCTATGCAAAAGTAACCACAGACTTAACAGCAAAAAGTATGCATTCTTCAAACCCTAACAGTATTGGAAGTGTTTTTATATTGGAAATACAAGGAATAATAGATAATGTCTCTAAATTTATAGTCCTGTGACTATCTCAACATTGTAAAAAAAAGAAAGAACTTTAAAAAGTTTAATATGCTGGAAAGGTGTTTGAAGGATTGTAAACATGAGATAATTTTCTACCTGCCTGGAAAAGAATGTAAGAGAGAGGGTCTCATCTCTACTATAACAAGATATCAAATACATCATGTAAAAGTCAACACCTCGGCTTCCCCACCAGCGGGATGAGAGAATGGAAAATGAACAGTCTCAGTGGTCCCCACTAGCTCTAAAATCTGACAACAGACTCTGAGTCTATCCTTGCCAAAAGATTAAAAAAAAAAAAAAGCATACACACAGAATAAGGCATTATCTAATATCATAAAATGCACAGCCAAGCTCAGCAGACTCTTGCCTAAATTTACGTCTTTACCCTGAGTTATATTTTCCTCTCCTACAAAAAACATCTTTTAAAAGACTCTGAAACCCACAGCTATATCTTCCTGTAGTTACTCCAGTGCTTCTAAAGGACATACTTATCACTACATTTGGGTTGGGCTTGGGGGTTTTGTTGTGGATTTTTTTCCATCAAATATGTGTGTGTATGTGTGTGTGTGTACATACTCCTTCTGTCCTGTCTCCACAGGAGTTCTCATTTGGGTTAATAAGGATAAGACCTGGGGCTGGCCACAGATGGCTCAGAGGCTAAGGAAGCTTGAAGAATGAGCCTCATGAACTGCGCTCCTACACTGGGATCCATGTAAAGGAGAGAATCAACTCCACAAACATCGCCCTCTGACTTCCACACATGCACCGGGGCACTAACGTGTTCTCTGGCTCTCATTTTCACTCTCTCACACTCAAATAAATAAATAAGTACATTTTAATAAATTCTCGTATTGGGCTGGGGAGATAGTTTGATCAGCAACGTGCATGCTCTAAGCACCAAGTAAAAAGGTCAATGATAGTGTCAGTGAACCTGCAATCCCAGTGCTGGAGGTGGAGACAGGCAAACCCCTCAGGATCGAGATCATACAAGATCCTGTGTCAAAAAATAAGGTGAAGGATACTGAGAAAATCACCTAATGTCCTCTGGCTTCCAAAACACACACATACACATATATACACACACACACACACACATACACACACACACACATACCCCTTCTAAATAAAACAAAAAATAAAACCTCATTTTACATCCAAAAACTTAATGAATTGTAACAGGGAAAAAAAATTCAAAGTACGCTCCGTAAATCAAAAATCTTACATTCAAGTCTAAGTACACTATTCCCAGAACCTAAGTGTGTCCTAAATAAGACTCTTTTACAACTCCGAGCCTCATCTGTTCCTCCTGTGGAGTCTAAGTACAATGTACTTACAGAAAGGTGTTCACATTACACAGCTTAAATATGGCAGCCTGAAAGCACCTGTCAATCATGATACTGTAGAAAGGTTTGTTTCTGTTACTGTGCTATCCAACAGATCCATACACAAAATCCTTGGAGTTCTGCTCACTCTTTGAGCACCATCCCTCTCTGTAGGCTATTAACTACAGCCTGGACTTTGGTGAGAATAAAGATGAAGTAGCTATAAACTGAGCTTCAAAGCCAGAGTCTGAGGGTCTGCCTTTTGGACAGGCCAGTGGAAAAGTGCACAGAAAATGAAGGTCAGGGGTCTAAGCAAAGATCAGAGATGGTCACTTTGTAATATTTTCACACAGGAGGGATACTCTTCACCAAAGTCTCCTCTTAGAAGTAGCAAAGGATGTCACTCGGAAATAGAGTGCTTCCCTAGCAAGTGTGAGACACTGACTTTAAAACCTTGTAGAAAGAAAAAAGTAACACAAGCTCATAATTCTACTCACTGTTTCCTCTCCTCACCCCCACCTTGCTACATACGTTTGTACATTTGTTTCTTAGTTTATCGCTATTGACTCTTAAAGTTCTGCTAGAGAAAGAACTTCTCAGAAAGAGCTCTGAACCAAACCTGGGAGGTACAGAACCATCCAGCAGTTAGAAGCAAGAAAAAGCTAGCTGGACAGGTGAGCCTAAATGACTAAACCACTCTCAGGCACTCTGGATCCACTTCTGAGATCCAGCCTCTCTTGCCCTTCCACCCATGTAATTTAATCTTATTCCTAAAACTATAAGACAAACAACAAGCAGGACCTCAACCTTAACTTGTATCAAAACAAAGATGGACAAAATTCTTGTTAGTGTCATGAGAAAGAATTTGTTGGTGTTCAAAGAAATCAGTCTTTAATATCTGAAAAGTAAAGCCAACCTGTTTGCCGTATTGGACTGAATCTCTCACTCAGTTTCTGTCCCAAGAAGACCACTGACATTCTCCAAATGAGGACATTGGCTAGGGTCCATTAGGTCTAGGCAGCTTCGTGCTATCTAGTGCCAGGTGCACAAGAGAGGTCAGACAGGTACATCAAGGAGGGAAAATCTTCCCCTTGCTAATCAACAGGATAAAGGTGGTTAAGCAGGAATTATTTTTCAATGACCTATATAATTTCATCAGAGCTGCTATGGCTATTAGCTGAAAGCAGCTGACTTCCTAATGAGATGAACTGGATAGCAGGGCCCTCTCAGAGCAGCCAACAGATGAGTAGAGTAGTAGGCCGAACCTGAAGAAAGCAACAATTGGTCTGCCACCTTTCCCACCTTTCCTCCTCCTGAAAGCGGCCTGGTTTGGAGCTCTTTCCCTTGGAGAAGGGGATGTGGTATCTCTGTATCTGGAAGGCTGCAGCACCTGTAGAATGGATGACAGCTGATCTGTCAAGTACAGGAGGCTAAAGCCAACCTGGGCTAATTCTCAGGACCCACTCCAAAACTCCAAGCAACCACAGTAGCCGTCACCACCAAACACCTCATCTACCTGACCCTGAAATAAAACAATAGCTAGCTAACCTCACATGAGTGAGGTTAACAAGAGAGCTTTGTTGAAGTCAGGGAAAACACACGCACACGCACTGATAACCATAACTCAAATTCAGTTTCATCAGAGAATTTATGAAATTGAGCAACAGCCAGCCAACAATAAATTCCTCACAGCAGGAAAGTGCTGCAAGTCCAGTGGCACCGCCTCCGTCTCCGGTGTATGCCAGGAAAGGTTTGGAGAGGAAGACAGATCCAGATTTCATCGTCTCTGCCAATTATCCCTTGGGGACCCAGGCGCTACGACCCAAAGGACCGAGAAAGGGGGTGGAGAGCCTGATGACATCTTCCTCAGTCAAAACAAGCTGGCCCTCTTCACCCAGGGTCGGTCATGAGTAACGTCGCCTGCAGGAGCCCTCAGCGTCCCGGGCAGTCACAGGGCTTTAGGCTGGAACCTTCTCAGCCGTCCTGCCGGTCCTCTCTCCAAAACCTGCTCCTGCCACTCAGCAGGATGCAGGAAGGAGGTTCTCAGGACAGCCTCTTCCACCTCCAACACCCTAAAATAAAATAAAAGCAATCCTCCAAGCACAGATTTCTTACCTGCGTACGGTCGCGGATTCTCCTGCCACGCTGTGTCCCCTCGACAGTCAGAAAGTTTGTGCGGCTGTCCGGGATGGGGGCAAACAACCGAGCGGCCAGTGCACAGAGCACAACAGAGAACTGAGCCGGCTCCTCCGGGCCCAACACCCAACTCCTGGCGCTGGGGCAGCTGCCCTCGCGCGTCTGGGCGCGGTGACCTCCAGCCCTGGCTTCAACACACCCTGAAGACCCGGGGACAAATTACCCAGCGAGAGAAGGTCGAGGAACAACTTTTCTCCAGCGCGTCAGCCGGTGGCGGAGCTTCGCAGGTCTCGGGTCGGTCCCCGCCCCACAGCTCGCACCCTCCGAGAAGTCTAGGCAGGGAGGTGGCAGGGGCGGTGCCCAACCTGCCGGGCGACTCAGGGGAGAGCGCCCAGGCCCCGCCCCTAGGGCCTCTGCCGCCTCAGACCCCGCCCCCAGCAAGCCCCGCCCTGCCTCCCAGACCCGCCTCTGCCAGGTGCTCCAGAGACTCAGATTGCGTGCACTACAACGCGCACGGGTTTCCTAGGTGAAGGGGGCGGAGCCTCTGCGAGAAAGTTTCCACCGAAACTTGAACTGGAGCGCTAAGAGGACGCCTCGCCCTTGGGGGCTCGCCTCTCCGGCAAGCTTCGTCTCTCCTCCAGCACCACTCCTGACAAGCAGGCACGCACCGCTGGTTTCTAGGGTTTTGAGAGGAAAGGAAGCTGCACACCGCGACGCGCGGACGTCTTAGATTTCCCACTTCTAGAAGGTTTGAGTGCGGAGCTTGACGCATCGCCTCACGCGGATTCCCTTCGCTTGTTCTCTTTTTCCTCAGATATTTGAACTTTAACATGACAGGACGGTCCCTGTAGATTTGAGTCTCCTGTCGTTCGACTGGAAAACTCGCTGGCATGAACAGGAGGCCATTTAGTCCCAGCAAGGAGGCAAGAGTTGCAGTTTTGCAGTTTAGTTTCTTAGGGGTAATTTTAGCCGTTCGGGCCTTATTTGTGAGTTTGAGGGTATTCCATAGGTGTGTGTCGCTCATTCACTGGCAACTGTCCCCACTGCCACCCCACCTCCAGCAAAAAAGAAAGGGCAGTTTAATATGAACAGTCCAGGGCAAGGATGAAAGTTCGCAACTCAGAATTCTCCAGAAGAATCGAGAACAGTAGGGAGGTGGTGGCCCTTTGGCACTGCGTGGTACCTTACCCTCTTCCAGGGCCCAGCCCTCGACCTGGGGCGACCTTTGCCTAAGGACTGAAAGCAGCATGCCACGCCAGCACTCCTCTTCAGTCTCCACGCCCCTATGTGCTTGGACCGCCTGTCCCGGCTTGGTTTCCTGTACTTTAAATCCCATAGGAGGAATCTGGATCTTGGTTAGCAGCTCTCTTGGCATTTGCCTTGCTCAGTGGTTAGTGTGGCTGAAACTTGAAGTGAGTCCTCCTCCCACCGGATGGAGCTACACTACAGTCTGCAAAAAGCGGATGTGGAGGTTTTCCACCACAGCATCCTACTGGCGCCTCACCAAATCCTGCTTCTAAGGAAGTGTCTTCCTTTGTTCTGCATGAATGACATCCGGAGATAACCAAAAATCGGGCAGATCTAGTTTTCTAATTTTCTTTGCACCCATAGCAACTGGCTGATACAAATGTCATGCTTTCTCCCACTACCTGAACATCACCACCATCACTACCACCACCAACCCTGCCGCCCGCCACTGTCCCCCAACCACCAGCTTTCACTTTTACCACCTGTAGATAAGAAATGGTTCCTGAATATAAAACGGGAGGGAGGGGCGGGGGGAAGAGAAATTAAGAGAGCAGGGTTTTATGCACAGCAGGTCACAGGTCTGCTCTGCCTTTGGAATGTGGGTAGATCATTCCTTTATTGAACTTGGGTAACTTTTGTGTGCCAAGCACTCTTTGGGGACTTGAGGAACATAAACATTACAGTCTCAATAACTATGAAGTAAGAATTTTCTCAAATGTCATGAGCATCCACAACGGTGTGCTATGCTGTCACAGGGCCAAAGCAACTGAGCAATTGATAATGAACTGTGAGCCAAAATAAACCTTCCCTCTTTTTATGTTGATCTAAGTATTTTGTTACAGTAATAAAAGGCCAAATAACACAATTAGTAACATGTTAGCCTTTTAAAATTTATTTTTTTTCTTCCCAGTGTTGTTCCTGTATACTCTCTTTGGCTAAATTATACATATTAAGACACTGAAATTAGACTTCTTTAATGAAGAAGCCGAACATTCCTCACTCGCCCTGCTTTTACTCCCATTTGTAAGTGCAGTTATATAAAGTGGTATCTTGTGTTTCTAAATTTGTTCTATTTAAAATAACAGAAATTTTGAGTTAAATTTAAAAGGGAAAGTAATATTCTGCCATTAACTCTCGTACATTTTAATTCAAAGAGCTCACTAGATTATCGACCTTAACATCCACATGAAGAAGTAGACAAAGGCCATCACCTCTGTCTAAGGATCCTAAAGTAAAGCACAGAGAAGCATTGTCCTGGGTGCCTTGAAATCTAAACTAAAAGGACACGAAAACATTGCCATCCATAGATTAAATGTAAATTTGTATTATCCTCTAGAGTTAAGCTCAGTAACAAACACTGTACATCCTGTTAGAATAATAATTGTCCTGACAAGAAAATATTCTAACAAGCAAACAAAACAAAAAAGTTTGTTTTTGGATGATTTCAGCTCCTTTTGGAAATAATCTAATGGTCAGGCTCTCTTTCACTAGTGATATAAGGTGTACTTATTCTTAAACTCTTCTAGCATCTATCTATCCTGTACTTGAATCACCATAGCCCAGGCTATCCATTCAAGTTCCAGGCCTACCTTTTCCATTTCTGTGACCCTAATCAAGTAAATTCAAGTCTTGTGTTTTAACGTTCTCTTTGAAAAGAGGTAATGAGTGCATTTATTTCACTGCATTGTGACAATATATTTTCATTTCTGAACACAATTCAGACAGTACAATAAGCAGTCATTAAACAGTTTGTTTTCAAGGTAATTTCTAGAAATGTATCAAAAGAAAACATTGTAAATATGTAGGACGGTTTATGTACAAGTATTTTTGGCAGGAAAACTTCATAAACAACTCTCCAATAGGAACTAAGTAAGTTTTGTTCTAACCACATTTAGTCTACCAAATAGTATGCTCTCAGGATTATGATTTTAAGTACATTTAAAGCTAAAATATAGCTATGCAAGTTGTTTAGGGTGCTTTCACTCAGGGGCAGGTAGGACCTGGTACAGGATATATTCATAAGAAAACAGGAGGCCTTTTGATGAATTTTATCAGTAGCCATGGGTATATATGGGCAGAAAAAAAAAACAAAACAAAACTCTGAAGACCAAGCTAAAAACGTTAACACCAATCATCTTGAAATATCAGAAGTGCAAGAGATTTTCTTCATTATACTTTCCTTCCTTTCCTCAACTTTCTATAATGAGCATGTGTTGCTTTTATAATAAGATAATTTTATTCTGGGGAAGTTTTTGTGTTTTTGTTGTTGTTTTGGGGATTTTTCCCCCTTTGATTGGGCAGTTTGTTTAGGTGTTTGTTTGTTTGTTTGTTTTGTCCCTCTATGATGTATCCTTGGCTACCTATCACTCACTGTTTTGACCAGGCTGGCCTTGAACTCAAGAGATTACCTGCCTCTGCCTCTACCTCCTGAGTGCTGGATTTCAAAGGTGTGAGCTGTAGCACGTAATTTATAGCCCTGGATATGCTCCGAGATCAGCTGCCAGCAACAGCTGTCTTACTCTGCCCCAAAGGCTAGCTTAGTCAAGCTGCCCAGTCTCATTCAGCTCTGATGCTTTTCCCATGAACGCAGGAAAGTGCACTATCTCTCCACAAGTCAACCACCCGGCGGCTAGCTCCACCAAAGTCTGCCCCAGTTGTGCCTTTTCTCCTGCCCACCTCCAAGGATGGAAAACGCCAGACAGCATTAATATTTTAAAACTAGCCAGATAACACAACTGCTGGGCCCGGAATCTATTGCCCTAAATTCATCAGCTATCCTATATCAGAATTCCACCGGTGGCGGAGGCTACCCCTCTTCCTCCTATGACCTGGAAATCCTCCTTTACCCAAGGATCGGCTTCTGCCATCTTTATTGACAAAATCAAAAGCCAATTAGGGAAACACCTCCATCTACAATGGGCCACCATGCCTGGTATTAATTTTACCTTTAAAATAAATTGGATTAAAGGAATAACAACCAACACTGAGCTACCACCTCATATTCATTAGTGTTAGTGAGCATGTAAGATGGTGTTGCTGTATGGAAAACAGTGCTGCAGATCTTCACAATATTAAAAATAGAGTACTATATGATCCAATCATCTCATTCTGGGTGTGAGATATGAGTACACCCACTCTCAGAGCAGCAGCAGGTCCAGCGTTGCTCCTGATCAGTGGTGCCTCTTCCTTAGGGTAGCCTGCTTCCCAACATGTGTCAATACAAATAACAGAAGTTCTGCCCAACCTCTGCAGGGCCTGTCCCAGCACCATGCTTCTTTCAGGAGATCAGCGGAAGCTTCTGTGAAAACTGTACCACCTAGCTTGCTTCCTTTAATCCTCCATATGTCTGGATTCCAAGATCTGATAAACTTCCATCTGAAGTCTTTTGAGTTTGTTTTCCAGAGAACCTAGCCTATAGTGTTTATGAAAGAAATTTTCTTTTCTTGGTGTTCTATATTTTCTTGCATATTTGACATTTATATTTAATATAGTCAGAGTTTCTTCTGTAATAAAAATATGAATCTCTTGTATTTTCTTATTTCCAATATCTAATTCTAAATAATTCATCATTTCTTCAGAAATTTGTGGCATCCAGACCCTATATGTCAAACCCCTGTGTATACACAGGTCTAACTTTGTATTTTGCTCCCTTGGCTTAAAGATTTCAATTGCTTTGTTTTGCTTTCTAAAATTGCCCTGAAATATTTGCCAGATACAATTTATTCTACTGGTTTCACTCCAAAAATCTCTCAAAGTTTTATTAGAATTATATTGATCTGTAAATTAATTTTAGAGGAATTAAATAGTTTACATTTAAATCAGCCCATCTGTTAGCATGATATTTTGCTTTATTTATTGAGCTGTTTTCTAATGTCCTTTAATAGTAATAAATCTTGATAGGGGTGTGCATGCTGAGAATGAAAGCCCAGGTCCTGGGCATGCTCCACCAGCACTCTAGCACTGAGCTGTACACCAGCTCCTAGACGTCTTCATTCTTTATTAATTTATAGATGTTGTGTGATTTTTCTTGACATTAAAATGCCACTTTCTACTTTTTGCTTTCCTTTTTTCCCCCAACTTTTTTCTCTTTGAGACAAGCTCTTTCTATGTAGCCTTGGCTGGCCTAGACTG